TCTTAATGTGCCCCGGCTCCCATTTCCCACGTCACCTACCACCCGTCCTGCAGTCAGAATTAAAGACATGTTCAGTCAATGAGACTGATTCTTGCGGACGTCTGGTTTCCTGCATGCACATTCCCAGCATGCAAACGCCCTTCGGTACATTCCTTTAGCAGTTACCTCTCTTTCGGTGGGAAACTATTCCTCAACAGAATAATCATCCCCATTCAGAAACTTATTACCCTGCATTTGTCTGAGTGACATTAGCTGCCCTCACCACCCCTCCCCATCCTTGTAGAGCTCGGTCTGTGGTCGCTGTGCACAGAAGAGGCGGGGAAGTCATCCCTTCCTTATGCTGATTTTCCTGCCACGTGTCGAAGGGAGAGAGCCAGAAGGCTTCTCCTGCTGCTCATTAACCTTGACAGAAGCGCTAGGCTGAGGACTTCCCTGCTCTCATCTTCTTTCGAGCAATCACCCTGCCCAGGAAAATCTGAGCTCAATGTGTGGCATCTGAGAGGCTGTAATTAACGAGAACGTCTTGCTATAACTCAGAAGGACGGGTGACAGCGAACGTTCCTACAAGGGCTTCTGGGGTTACTCCTATTCCAGGCCTCAAACACAAACACTGTGAGACGGCTACGCGCAGCCCTGCTGCGGCTAGTGGCAAGAGTCCATGGGTTTTTTGCATTCGCTCAGAACTGCTGAAAACCATCTGCACTCCATTTATATCTTGGAGAATAGTGAGCCGCAGGCTGGGGTTGGGGGGTTGGATGCCAACAGTGGACAGAGAGGTCTGAAGCCTGCCTTTTTAGCTCTATCGTTGCCTGGGAAGGGGAGTTTTGACAGTGCAAACTCGCGTGCAGCCCATCCATAGTAGGTGCTTTTCAGATCCATCGGTGTGGTTATTGGTGATGGCAGAGCGCTCAGGTGTTAACAGCTCAGTTAGTGGACACCATGAGTCTGGGTTCCAATCTGCGATCTTGCAGTCTCATTGCATAATCAGGGGCACATTGCTTGTTGCCTCTGAGCCTCAGTTTCCATCCTAGGGAGTAAAAAGAGAATGAGTGTGTATGACTGATTTATCATTGGGCTGAACTTTTGAAGATAGCAACGGTGAAATATCATAATTTTTATCCTATACCTGCCTTCCAATCACTCTACTGGTGTTCTTCACCTCCTCCATTCTCTGACAAAAGTCTCAAGCAGATTCCAGGGCTTTTCTGGTCATTTTGGGGGTTGGAAGAGAGCGCTTTTGTGAAAGCCAGGTCCATTCCCCATATCAGAGCCTCAGTGTCCTATCCAGACCACGTCTTTTCTTTTCACCCAGTTTAGGCCGATGCTGGAATCCACAGATAAGCGGGAGGGCAGGGGACCGCGGTTGGCCCGGTGCTTTCTTTCCTGCATCCCCCCAGTCCAACTGGCACGTTGCTGACTGAGGCAGGGACGGATGTCAGAAGAGAAGGAAAAAGGCGTCTTTATTTAGCGGGGGCTGGTGCAGTTCCCTCCGGTTGTCAGAAGCCCTTGTTATGGCAGCTGCTCCCAGTGCTGGCTCCACCGGCCCCCTCTTTTATTCAGACAGTCCGCATTCTACCTTTTGTCACCTCCTCTGGTAGTTTGCCCACTGGGGTGAGCTGTGGGGCTGCACCGTAACTCTGGCCCCAGCGGCATTGTTTCTGTGACATGGACTTGACCTATGGCAGGACTTAGATATCCTTGTCTCCCCACACTCTGGGGTGCAAGCCCCTCCCTCTTTGGCCTCCCTCCATTGTCTGCTATGCAGCCTGTTCCAGGCAAAATCCCATCTCTGAATTCCTCCAGGCACGGGGCAGGCACTGGTCTCTTACCCTCCACCTCCTGTTTACCTCAACCTCCCAGCCCCAGAAAAACCTTCGGTAGAGCAGCTTTCTTTAAACTGTGTGGACATTTATTACCCACTGTCCAAATCACCTGACAACAAGAAATGTCTCACCGACCATTCCATTACCTCTGCAAGGTGTTGCATCCAGTTTCTGGGATGTAGTAGGTGCTCAGAAAAGGTGAGCTATTACTATTATCAATAATACATACTTCAGATAATAGAAAGAGCCAAGAAGGAGCGTGGGGCAAAGGGGTAACATGAAGAAGAACTTTCCTTTGGAGTCATTCTGTTGAGTTTGCAGTGGTGGCATGACCTTTGGGTACAACATACAGGACATTTTTCCAAAGGAGGGCATTGCATAGAAATGGTATACACTGAACTCATTTGTTCTTTGTATCAGAATGTCAGTTGTATCGATGCAGAACAAGCACAGGCTTGCAATCAAATGCACTTAAATTAGAATCCTGACTGTGCCGCTTACTAGTTGAGCAACTCCTGGTAAGTGAGTTTACTTTCAACACCTGGTTCTTCACCCAGGGTAAGGAGAGTAGCACCAATCTTACATGAGGATTAAGTATGAGGATTACTGCACGTAGCCAGTGCCTAGCACGTAGCGGCAACCTGACAAATAACATTTAATATTATTGTAATGTTATTATTATTTTTTTACATAACAATTCTGCCAGGGTCCTTCAGCCTCTATTTCCTCCACTTTCTGATACTGAATAAATGATGACTATTAAGAATTAAAGATTTTACACAGTATTAGAATTTGGTTTCATGACTAGGAAGTTGTCTTCCTTTTCTGAAGTTATCTGCCCAGGTCAATTCTTTTGATGGTGTTTTCAACTATGTATTTGGAGAAGAGGCAGCATCACATGAGGGCACATGGGGGACTTCTAGGAGCTAGCAATATTCTTATTCTTTTTAAAAAATTTTTAACTGAAGTGTAGTTGACTTACTACATTATATTAGTTTCAGGTGTACAACATAGTAATTTGATATTTTCATAAGTTACAAGCCATACAAAGTTATAAAATATTGACTATATTCCCTCTGCTGTACGTTATATCCTTGTAACTTATTTTATACCTAGTAGTGTGTACCTCTTAATCCACTTCACTTCTTTTGTCCCTCCCCAACCCCACACCCTCTGGTAACCACTAGTTTGTTCTCTGTATCTGTGAGTCTGTTTCTGTTTTGTTATATTTATTCATTTGTTTTGTTTTTTAGATTCCACATATAAGTGAAAACATACAGTATTTGTTTTTCTCTGTCTGACTTATTTCACTAAGTATGATACCTTTCAGGTCCACATTATTCTAGTTCTTAACTTGGGTGGTGGTTCCATGGCTGTTGCCTTTATAACAATCGATTAAAACTATACAATTTATGTTGTATATTCTTTTCAATATTGATATCACCCTTCCCAATAAAAAAAAGATAACAGAGAAAAGGAAGTCATACTCAGTAGTTGATTAAAAACCAAACAAACCTCAAAACATTTATTGGGCCCTTACTATGTGCTTGGCATGGCGCTAAGTGCTTTCCACATACAACGCAGTCAAGCAGGCACTGTCATTCCCACTTTACGGCTGAGGAGACTAAAGCTTAGGATAAGGTAGTCTTCGCAAGGCTAGACACCTAGGACCTGTCCAATTCGCCCTTTCAGTACGTCGCAGTTGCCTTGCACAATGGGGAAGGAGAGCCCGGGCTTGCATGGGACACCAGGTAAAGGACTAGGCTCCCTGACTTCTTCAATCTCTGGTCCAAATGCTTACGAGTCTCGAGTTGGTCACAGAAGTCCATTGTCAAGAGGCAGCTCTGCAGATTGGTTTCTGGGTGACAGCCTGACTGAGAGATGTCCTGGTGACTGAGTGCCTGTAAGTCAATGCGAGGCACAAACCCAGTCCCTGTGGTCTGCCCTGACTCGGCTTGTTAGTGGTCAAGAATGTGCCATCCCAGAGGGGGGTCGGGGGCACCAGGGGAGAGGGGTCCTCTTACACACTGATGGTGCTGGAGGCCCTCACCTCCTGCTGGCGGTAGAGGTGGCAGAACCTAACAGCCAGCTCTGGTCCGGGTGGTCTGACTTACTAACCATCTGAGCGCTGGAGGAGTGGAGGCTGACTGAAACCCTCAGCACATGGGCTTCTGTGCTTCTGCCTTGGGAGGTCCCCGAGAGGAATTGGCCTTGGGTCCTAACCTTACGAGGCTTACAGCCTCGCATGGACACGAGCTGCATACAAGAGTGATTTACAACACAAGAATAACCGCCAAGAGATGCACAGAGGGACCAATACATTTTTCTGAACGCTTAGCAGAAGGAGAGCTAGTTTCCAGCTGGGGTGAGGCAGGGGGTGTGAGAGAAGACTTCGTGCAGAAGGTATTTTTATTAGAAATTCTCTTCTTTTGCTGGCTTGTGGGCAGAGGTGGTGAGCAGCACACTGATCTGGGGACTGAGTACAGGCTCTGCCCTTTCCTACTGTGGTACCCAGGTCAACATGCTCTATCCCTTGAGCCTTTGCCTCCTCATCTGTGTGAGGCAGTATGATGTTATCGTGACCAGAACAGACTCTGGAGCCAGATTTCCTGGGTTCAAATTCTGCCACTCTCGGCCATGTGCCTGCGGGCAAGTCATTTGAGGTAGCTGTGCCTCAGTTTCCCTATCTCTAAAATGGGGGTAACAGTATATCCCATGAAGGGTTGTTGTGACGATTGAATGAACTTATAAATGTAGAACATTTAGGATAGTGCCTGGCACACAGCTTGTGCTCTATGTGCAGCTATAATTGTTGGTGTTGTTACTGTGGGGGTGGTATTAGTGTCAATGTATAGATCAGGGATTAGGGCGAGCAAAGCCTGGCACACAGTATGCCCTGACTACAAGACATTGTTCTTGTCATTACTGAAGTGCAGGTGAAATACAGAATTAGAAATGAAAAGGAGGGCCTCAAGGGAGTAGGAACAGTGTCAGCAAAGACAGGAGGCAAGAATGCGCAATGTGTGAAGAAGGAACAAAAAATAATCTAGGAGGCAATCTCTCTTCTGATTTCTCAGCTTCCTGTGGACTCTTAGAATCCGTTAAAAAGGCCAATTTCCATCAGCTAATCTCCATGGCTTGCTTTTGCATGTTTTTCTGGATGCAGGCCTCCTGGAGCATCTGCTCCCCGTCGCTCCAAGGATGGGTCTCCAGGGGATGTTCTGCTTCCCCCTGGGGCTCCTGTTTGGCTCTGTGCTCTTGGTGGCCTCAGCCCCGTCCGCTCTCGAGTCTACCGGCTGCAGCGAGAAGGAGCAACAGGTCACCGTCAGCCACACCTACAAGATTGATGTGCCCAAGTCCGCCCTGGTCCATGTGGAGGCTGACCCCCAGCCCCTCCGTGATGATGGAGCCTCACTCCTGGCCCCAGGGGAGGCTGAGGAACAGAACATCATCTTCAGGCACAACATCCGCCTGCAGACGCCCCAGAAGGACTGCGAGTTAGCAGGCAGCATCCAGGACCTCCTGGCTCGGGTGAAGAAGCTGGAGGAAGAGATGGCGGAGGTGAAGGAGCGGTGTAGTGCCCAGCGCTGCTGCCCGGGAGCTGCTGGTGAGCTCACCACCTGGTATCCATTCAACAAACACTGAATGAGCACCTTCATGTGTTCCGCCAGCCTCATGAGCACCCCGCCTCTCACTCTGGGTTTTCTCTAGGGGGTGCCACCATTGGCGCTTAGCTTCCAGGGGTTACCTTCAAGCCTGAGCAGGGAGGGACCAGCAACCCTTAAAGTGAGTCTGGACTCTTGGGTCAGTGCTTCTGGATGAGAATGCTTTTGGGTGCAGTTTTACCTGGGGATCCAGTCTCTATTGTAAGGGAAAGCAACGGGTTAGAGAGGAAAGCTCAATGGCCTTGGAGCTAGACAGGATTGGGTACAAATCCCAGTTCTGCCATTCTTTAGCTGTGTGACTTTGGGCAAATTCCTTAAGTTTCCTCAACTGTCCATTGAGGAGAATTCTATCAGCTAGTCTAGTTCTGAGAACTACGGATGATATACAGAAGATTCCCGGCCATTAGGCAGAAAATCGTGAACTCTTTTATCAGTAATAAAGCACTACAATTTTTTTTTTTTTTTTGCGGTACATGGGCCTCTCACTGTTGGGACCTCTCCCGTTGCGGAGCACAGGCTCCGGACGCGCAGGCTCAGCGGCCATGGCTCACGGGCCCAGCAGCTCCACAGCATGTGGGATCTTCCCGGACTGGGGCACGAACCCATGTCCCCTGCATCGGCAGGCGGACTCTCAACCACTGCGCCACCAGGGAAGCCCCTAGTACTACAATTTGATTTTACAAATAGTGAGTCCCCCCATCACCACGTTCGTTTTTCAGCATAAACGGCCAGGCTGATCCAGATGATACTAACCAGTAATACTTTGGCATATATTTTAATGCCTGAAGAAATCGCTACCGTTAAGAGCGCCTCTCATAAGCCAGACACAGAACTAGGCACGGAGGATGCTGTCATGAATAAAACAGCATGGAACTGTCCCTGAGGGACCTTGATGTCTAAAGTTTTTAGGAAGGAAAGAGGGTGTTCTGAGACAGGAGCTGGGGCTGGTGAAGAGACAGGGCTGACTGGCCCGCCCTCCAATTGCCTCTTGCTGTCTGGGGTTAGAGAGGGGAGCCTGGTTAATCCTTCTCCCGTCTGCCACCCCCATAATGAGACTGGGCTATTTGATAGCTTCTGCAGGTCCACTTTTCCAGGCTTCACTTTGGGATCATTTCCCAAGGACCCAGCCTTGCTAGGTCCAGCCCCCTCCAACCAAGGCAAGCTCTCACCCAGCCTGGAGCTCTGATGCCTGGCCCAGGAGCCCTGTCCCTTAGTGTAAGCTGGCCCGCTGACATCCAGGTTGGGGCATTTAAGGCGGCTTCATAGAAAGGTACTAAACAATTAGCACCTTTCACAGGGGAAGGAACCAAGAGAAGTCAAAGAAGCACTCGGGATGAAAAGGGAAAGGCAAATGTGGTCCCTGTGGCTATTCAGGCATAAAATATATCAATAGATTGCGCAGGTCCTCCTCTGGCCTAGGTTGGAAAAGGCAGACTCCTTGTCTTCCCCATAGGCCCTACCCTCCTCCACAGAAAGAGCCGTGCAGGACCCTGAAATCACCAGCCTGCTCTTAGGGGCCCCAGGGAAGGAGATTCCCCGCTCACAAGCCCTCAAGTCCCAGCTGACTGTTTTCCTCTCTCGGGCAGGTCTGAGTCACCACTGCAGCGGCCACGGGACCTTCTCCCCGGACACCTGCAGCTGCCACTGTGAGCAGGGCTGGGAGGGCGCCGACTGCGAGCGGCCCGCCTGCCCCGGCGCATGCAGCGGCCACGGGCGCTGCGTGGACGGCCGCTGCCTGTGCGAGCAGCCCTACGTGGGGGCCGACTGCGCCTACCCCGCCTGCGCGGAGAACTGCAGCGGGCACGGCGTGTGCGTGCGCGGCGTCTGTCAGTGCCACGAGGACTTCACGTCTGAGGACTGCAGCGAGCGGCGCTGCCCCGGCGACTGCAGCGGCCAAGGCTTCTGCGACGCGGGCGAGTGCTACTGCGAGGAGGGCTTCACAGGCCTCGACTGCGCCCAGGGTGAGAGCAGAGATGCGCCTTGGCCCGCCTCTCTTCTTAACTTGCCCCGGCGGTCCCCACGGCACCGTTTAACCATTAATTACCTTTTGTCCTAAGAAGGGCACCCCCCCACCTTTCGCCTACATCAGAATCCCCTGGAGGGCCTGTTAAAACACAGATTCCTGGGCCCCTCCCGCAGGTTCTGGTTCAGCAGGTCTGAGGGACGGCCTGAGAACTTGCATTTCTAACAAGTTCCATGCTGATACTGCTGGTTTGAGGACCATAGTCTTACCTGATGGTGTGTGCCTGTGTTAGGTGTTACTGAATGAAGTCTTATGGCCCCAGGTGTTACTGAATGAAGTCTTATGGCCCCTGCTCGGGCCCTAGCCCTGCTGAGACTCTCTGCCTGGTTAGGGGAGGGTTCTGGCTCTAGCAGCCAGTAACAAAACTTGAGCTGAAATCCACAAAGCACAAGCTTTGCTCAGTGGCCAAAGAATGGAGAAATGGGAACTAAGTTCACAGATCAACATCTCGCACACCTGGCAAGAGAGATTTAATCCTAATGAGTAAAGACAAAGGGAGTAGGAGTGAGGCTAATGGTGGGGAGGCATATGCTTTAGTTTACCTGAGAAGGAGCAGTGCTTTTTCGAGGGAGTGGGGAGCCACTCTTTTCATCCTTGTTTGGTCCTTAAAGTCCCAGTCATGGCTGCTGGTAGGTGTGTCATTTAATATGCTAACGTAGTAAAATAAGTGTAGAGTGAAACTCAGGGTCTGTCAAAGGTCAGGTTCACCATCTTGGTCCCAGCTGCTTCCATCTTTTTTGTTCATTTGTTTGTAGCTTCCTTTCTCATCCCTGGACCATTTTATTTAATGATTTGTGTTAACTCCTGCTAAACGTGGAGGTTGGAGGGTTTTGAACAAAGACTTGGAGCAGCTCTGGCAACATAGGGGGTCAATATTAACTCCTAACCAGATAATAACTTTTGGGGGTCCACAATGGTGCCTTACACAGGCTCTGTATCCTCCACACCCACCGTCATATTGTTAAGTATAAAGTAGGTGCTCAATGAATACATATTGGCTGTGGATTCCCACCCTTCTTTCCTCACCGTCTGCATGCTTGTTCCTGTTCTGTGTGCAGTGGTCGCCCCCCAGGGTCTGCAGCTGCTCAAAAGCACAGAGGATTCCCTGCTGGTGAGCTGGGAGCCCTCCAGCCAGGTGGACCACTACCTCCTCAGCTACTACCCCCTGGGGAAGGAGCTCTCTGTCAAGCAGATCCAAGTGCCCAAGGAGCAGCACAGCTATGAGATCCTTGGCTTGCTGCCTGGAACCAAGTACATAGTCACCCTGCGCAACGTGAAGAAAGAGATTTCCAGCAGCCCACAGCATCTACTTGCCACCACAGGTGAGAAGCAGCCAGATGCCCCAGGTCTCCCAGTAGAGGCTCTGTTTTAAGCATTTTCTTCCATTGTCCCCACAAGTACCCTTCTACTACCCCAGGCCATTGCCCTGATTTGGGGTTTGGAAAACATAGCTGCTGCAATCCTAGGTTCTGAAGAAAAGTCTCCATTCTTGTTCCTCTCTCTTTCCTCCATGATTATTGGGTCCTCCAAGCCAGTGATGGAGCCTGCTGGTTTGGGGCTCACAGCATCTTCTCCATCCCTGAGATTAGTGAGGTCTGATTGCCCTGCACCCACATACAAGCAGCCTTGGAGTACACCTGCATCCGTAGGCCCTCACTGAGCCACTGTGACCATTCAGCAAGATCAAGCTGGTATGGATGGGGGTCTGCTGAAGTCACCTGTATCAGTTAGATTCATCTCAGCAGAAAAGAGAGGGTACAAACAGGGTAGCTGAAGGAGGTTTAATGAAGAGGTTATTTATAGAGGTATAGGTAGGGTTTGGAGGATGAAACACTCTAGGACTAGCATCATTGGGGATCCACCCCAGTCTGAAGGGGCAGGGGATGGAAGTTTGTACTGAGACCCAGAAAGGACTTTAGGAGAGGGCTGCCTGATGGTAGAGGGATGCAGGCAGTCTACTGTGTCCCCACCAGGAGGGAGTGAGGAGATCAGTTGCCCTCTTCTGGTGACTCTCAATGGCTGAACATGACCAGAAACCAGAGGTCCAGGGAACCAGGCTAATGCATTTCATAGAGGTCATAATCTGGGATACAGAGCAGGAAGGAGGATGGATCTGGAGGGATGGAGTCTCCAGGGCACCACTAAATGCTATCAAAATGCTTGGAAGGACAAGCATCATTGCTTATTCTTTAGAAATTCTTATTTTCTCATGGAAGTACTTGAGGCAGCCTAGATCTTCAAGGGTTTGGAGAAACCTAGTTGTTTGAGTGATTCGGATTCATTCCTTTTCTCAGCATACTTTATTGAACATTTACTATGTGCCAGGCACTGTCCTAGATGCTAATAAAAATGAGCTGTCTCCATCTTGCCCTAAACTCTTGAGGAAAATCCAGGGACATCCAGGTGGATGGGCCTTTGACATGCAGTGTCTTTGGAGAATCATCAGACTGCCTGTCCTTTTTGGTGGTAAGGGTAGAATAGGGTAGGGATAGCTCAGTGTTGGAAAGAGCCACGAAGGACTTGTCATGCTTGGGAGGGCAATTTGTGATTGCCTTTGTCAACGCCCTCCAGCCAAAGACCCCTCAGGGCACCCCTGTAGTTGAACAAGTTGGGTTTCTTGTTGGTTGCAGCATCGGAGCACACACACCATGGGGGACCATGGGTGTCTCAGTAAGACAGTGTAAGAGGGGACTGGTGTAGAAGCTGGGCTTGTATTAGGTGATTTGGGGGAAGAGTTAAGGAAGCAGGGATTTGCTTTGGATTGCATGCTGTCAGGAACTGGGGGTAATCCTTTGATTGGTATCTTAGTGAATCTTATACAGAAAGAGGGCAGACTAGATGGAGGCTAAAGCTGTCATTGGTAAAAAAGGAACAGTCACTCATACCAGTCAGGAGGGAGGATGTTTAGTCACTTCTGTGAGTTGGACAACGTTTCGTTCATGTTTTGCCTGGGTGCAGATGTGATCTTGGAATCGTCTCGTTTGGTCTTAATTTGGCATGGCCACAGAGCACCTTGTCTGCTGTTGATGTCCTGTGGAATTGTTTATGTTCAACAGGAGAGCACTAAGGCCCACCTGTGAGAGCCAGGCCAGCTCCCAGCTGTCGGGCTCCTTTTCTCTTTCCCCATTTTTTTTTTTTTTTTTTTTTTTTTTTTGCGGTACACAGGCCTCTCACTGTTGTGGCCTCTCCCGTTGTGGAGCACAGGCTCTGGACGTGCAGGCTCAGCGGCCACGGCTCACGGGCCCAGCCGCTCTGTGGCATCTGGGATCTTCCCGGACCGGGGCACGAACCCGTGTCCCCTGCATTGGCAGGCGGACTCTCAACCACTGCGCCACCAGGGGAGCCCTCTTTCCCCATTTTTGTCTGTGGCTGCCTCTGCATTTAGACAGGACGGTGTTCACAGCCTCTCAATGAAGAGCCGAGACACCTGTTCTGAAAGTCTTAGCAACCCCTCTAGGCTTCTTGCTCTAGGGACTTGTAAAATCCTGTGACTGTGAAGTTGTCTTTCTAATCTGATTCAAGTGAAACCCATTCTGGTTTGCTCCTGGGGGAGCCTCAGCCGGAGAGACACTTATCCCCATAATCATCTTGAACATTTTCATTAAGATCCTGCTTTTTCACTTGTGAGCCATGTAGGGCCCCTTCTGTAATCCTTGAGTCACTTTCATTACTCGCCTTTTGACCTGTTCCCTCAAGGAATTCCCATCTTTGAGGGAACAACCTGGAGGCGGGCAGGTAGAAGGCAGAGCTTGGGCAGGAGTGCTTCAGAGGAAACGCTCCGTGAGCTTCTTTATCCATAACAGAGGGAATCAGAAACATTCAGAGCCATGGGACCTTGAAAGCGTAGAGTTCACCCCTTGACTGATGCCCAAATTCTCTGTCCTACGTCCTTGACAAGGGGTCAGTCAGTCTGGTGGGAACACCTTCAGAACCAAGGCACTGGAGGTGAGGAAGGGGCGAGGCTGAAAGTCTGGGGGCTTGTCTTTCCTGTTACAAACTTCAGGCCAGGTGACATTGGCCTGGGATATGGACGTTGGAACTCAAAGTATTCCCAGAGACCCCAGACCCCTCTTCAACACCACCCAATGGTTCTTCCCACAGAGCCACATCAGCGATCCATTCCTTTGTAATAAGCATTATATTTTCATCTTTTTCTGAGTGGAGGGGTGAACATTTAGCCATTAATACTTTACTATGGGAGTTCCCTGGTGGTCTAGTGGTTGGGATTGCAGAGGCCTGGGTTTGGCTCAGCGTGGCCAAAGTACAAATAAAATAAAATAAAGCACTGCACTCTCTTAAAAAAAGTACTTTACTATGAATAAATGTGCACAGTAACTCTCTTCCTTCACAGGATGGACCGGTGGGGCAGCTGAGGACACCAGGTACCTGGTGGAGGTGCTAAAATTTGGTAGAAGGTGCAGGAAGAATGCTCAGAAGGACCAACTTAAAATTCTCCTACTTTATAGTTTTGCCTGTGTTTAATCCTTATAGGAGAATTTGAGAGAAGGGGAAGGAGCTGTGATTTGGGAGACTGAGGAAAGAGCTGGTTGTATTACCAGTGTTATACTCCAGAAAATTGGAAATGCATTTCCCAAACTCTACCTGGAGGGGCCTTGAGCTTCTCATCCTGAGGTTGAGTCTCTGTGGGCAGGGGCTCTGCAGCTAAAGGGTGAGTGTTTAGTTCAGAGCTGTGTGAACCCTGGCCGAGTGGGTTGGCTGGCTGGCCTAGGAGGCGAGGTTCAGGGCTTGGCCACAGCAGCGTGGACAGGGCGGACTGCATGGCATCTGATGGGGTGGGATGGGGGAGAGGCTTTCCCAAAGGACAGTCTATCCTCCATGGACAACGTAAAAACCAACAATTATTTGCTACTTCGGTAGTTCTGGGACACCTTCTAAGGACTGTGTCCTGGGGCTGAAGCCAGCTTTCAGTGTGTCAAGAAAGGGAGCTGACCTGGTAGCCAGTGTCTTGCTACAGACCTGCGGGCCCCTGCTGTTCATTGCTTTCTCTTGCCCTCCCTGGCCCCTGCCCTAGATCTTGCTGTGCTTGGCACTGCCTGGGTGACGGATGAGACTGAGAACTCCCTCCACGTGGAGTGGGAGAACCCCCCGGCCGAGGTGGAATACTACAAGCTGCAGTATGGCCCCCTGACAGGGCAAGAGGTGGCCGAGGTCACCGTGCCCAAGAGCAGTGACCCCAAGAGCCAATATGACATCACGGGTAAGAGCCAACACTGGGGATGTGAGATGTTTGCTGGTGGATGCTGAGGCGGGGACAGTGTGCGCAGAGGGGACCAGCATCTGTAGCGCTCAGGTGTGCGCAGAAGGTCCTGGGGCCCTGGGAATCACCTGAACACTGACCCGGGAACTCCCAGAGGTGAGCCCACTCTGGGGGCCCGAGGTCTCTGCTCCAGCATTCCAGCACTGCCTCTGGAAGCTTGGAGCACCTGGGTAACAGATTACACATCCGAAATGTTCTCCCAAGTCAGTTAACCCTCTGGAAGCCCCTGTCTGTGTCTCGGGGTGGGACACAGACATTCCTTTTGGAAGAACTGTGTGTGTGTGTGTGTGTGTGTGTGTGTGTGTGGGCGCGCGCGCGCGCGCGCGTGTGAGAGAGAGAGAGAGAGAGAGAAAGAGAAATTGGTTGACTGAGGTTGGTTTGTTCAGTGCCATATGTGGAAGGAGTTGAGCTAGGCGGCCTAGGGTAGGGCGCTCCTATGCCAGGTGACGGAGCTAACTCTGGCAGAGCTGGAAATCAGACGGCTGCAAATAGAACGGGGCCACGTAGGGCTGGGTAATGTTTTGTGACACCTGAAGTTTGTACAATTTTCAGTGTCTTCTTTAAGAAAAGTAATACACAATCACGAATACCCAATTCAGCACATGGCCTTGGAAGGGGCTGGTGCAGGTGAGGGGCCCTGAGGCTTTTTAGCTCCACAGTGAGTCCTCCTCTGGGGCCTTGTCCTGCCATCTACTCCCTGCATTCTGTCTTGAGAGGTCATCTTGCAGTTCTCAATGTTTTGTGCGGTGGCAAATAACGTGTGTGCCTCATACATGCTGCTGTTTGCCCACAGTTCACCACCAGAGTCTGAATATTTGTGTCATGAGGAACAATCATTCAAGTTACCACTACAGAGAAACAACAAACAAAGATAAAGAAAAAAGAAAAAGAAAGGGAAAATTAAAGCAAAGAAAATAAAGAGGGGAAAATTAAGCTAATTATTACAATGGGGAGGAAAGAAACTTTTGAGGGAAAAGGATTGTTGGGAGCAGAAAAACATTTGGGCTGTAAATACAATTGGGAAATAAGGTCTCAGTGGTCCAAGGAAGGAGCTGGAACTCCATTAACTTCATCTCATCCGCTCTGGCCCGCGCTTCATGACTGATAAGCTCCGCAGTGATGCCTTGTATTCCACTGGTCCTGCAGCTCTTTAGCTGCCTTAGGTAGATTATAGTCTTGAGGAGAGAAGCTTAGCCCTCTCCACACCCTCACAGGAGAAATCCTGGGGAAGAGCAGTGCTGGGGCTCGAGGGTCTGGAGCCTTGTACTCACACCCAGCACTGGCTGCTTGTTTCTAGGTCTGCAGCCCGGGACAGAATATAAGATCACAGTCGTCCCCATGAGGGGAGACCTCGAGGGCAAGCCGATTCTCCTGAATGGCAGGACGGGTAAGAACAACGGGGAGGCACTAAGAATGCATCTCATGTTTGTATTCTGATATTTTCTTGGCTGACTCCTCTTTGGATAAAAACTCTGGGATCTGTGTGTAGAGACAGCCTGTCTCTTTGTGTACTGACATCTTTTGGGGGGCAGGAGAGGGGAAGCAAACTTCTTCTATTTCAAATATGTTTTGCCGTTGAAAATCTCTTCAGGATCCTGGAGTCAAGGGGAAAGGCCATTTCCAGCACCTTTCTGCTTATTTTAATAGCTTCAATCACTGGGGTTTTTTTTAAGGCATTTATTATCTTGGACCTAGGCACACAGCTCCACATTACTTAAGACAGGTGATTTATAATTTTTTTCTTGTCATTCCTGTGGTGTTTTCATGGCAAACACACTCAGGGAGTTTGCTTTAAAATGTCAAAAGATATTAAAGACTTTCACATGGGAGTAGCAAGAGATTTAGCGTCTGCAGATTGAGAAAATATACAATGACCAACGTTGCTATAAATGAGTAACATGTGACAGTAAGTTTGTAATTTATTAATCAGAAAAGAATTTGAAATCCTTGTAGTTATATATGCAAGATATCCTATGTAAGTTTTAGTTTTTAGGCAGTGCTGAGCCTGTATTGAATTGTGAGCCTCCTGTGGTCACCCTGTGCTCCTGCCAAGTCGAGTCGGGAGGTGGTGATCTAGAGCCTACAGTCACCCACTAGAGGCTAATCCTTGGAGCTGGCAAAGAAGGGATCTTTGAGTTTTGAGACTTCCTTGAAAAGTTTCGTAGTTCTTTTCAGTTCAGTCCTGGCAGTAGCTGGTTAGGGTGGTGAGAATAAGGGTGAGATGGTGCAAGAATTGAATTCACTATTTCAGCTGCCAAATAGGTTGCATATCTGGAGTGTGAAAGAGTTATAGAGTTGGGCAATTATAAAAGATACTTTAATTTTCAACCATACAGTATAGACTGTGCAGCCTGCATGAATGGTGAACTAGTGAAACACGTTGGTGAATTAGAAAATGGCAAGTCCTTCCTTGCTTCTAGTGCCTTTCTCTTTAGCTGTGAATTAATTGAGAGCCTACCATGCACAAGGCATTATACCACTAAGCACTTCTCATAAATTATCTCATTTAGTTCTCATCATAATCCTGTGTGGTAGGTCCTATTATTATTTCCAAGTCACATATAAGACAACTGAGGCTTGGAGAAATTAAGCTCAAGGTCGCCCAGCCAGGAAATGATAGGGCTGGGATTTGAACCCAGGATGTCCACTTTGGTGGACCCAAAACTAAAATGCCACCTACTTTTACTTCTCTGTCCATTATTTCTGGTTAATTTTCATACTTTTTACTCCCTAACTAAAAAAAAAAAAATAATTCTGTGAGTCCTCATTGTCTTTGGATAACATAGACTTCTTTTATCTTGGCCTCTGTGGACCCCTCCAACCTGGGCCATTGTTCTCAAAACTTCCCAACAGGAAGCCTTCCTGCAGCTGGACTGTTCTTGGGGCTCCCTAACACAGAAGGCTTATCTCTACCTCGTGGGTTTGGTCATGTTGTTACCCCTGCCTAGGAAATTCTCCATTGTTATCTCTAGCTATCAATTAATTCAGTTCAACAAACTTTAATTGCAGAGTACTATTGGGTCCTAGAGACACAAGCCCTTTAGATACTTCCAAAGATGATGAGCTCTGGTCCCTGCCCTTCGGGGGCTCACAGCAGTAATATCACTCATCCTTCTGGGTCATCTCCAGCGTTAGCTGCTCCGCTGAGGCCTTCTCGGACAATATTAAATGGCAGCCATCTTTGCCTTTGAATTTCTAGAGCATTTAATTACATATGGCCTTGAATTGCTAGTTAACCTTTCAAGCATATTATGCCAACTAGAAGTTGAGCGTTCAAGAAATGTTTTTTTATTGTCAATACTATTCTAAAAGCAGGATGGGATATTTTATTGGATTGCAAATAAATTTGTGTTATGTGTCTTACCAACATGAAAATAAAAGACACAATAATTTCTAAGGTCAGGAAGCACTCTCAAACCTGGCTAGACAATTAATGTAAGGGGGAAAAAAAAAGAATCTCTCTTTTCTCCAGGTGTTCTGCATTCCATGAGATGGAAAAACACTGGAATATAAGAATGGCATAAGCATGTGCAGGGAGGAAATGGCACAGTTCAGGTATTTTCCATTTAACGAGTCACTCAGTGGAACTAATACCATGAAAGTGAAAGGGTCGATTGGAAATGCTCACCCTGTTAACGTACTCAAAGTGCACTGAAAGGCACTTCTAGAAAGGCAAGGCTTTAGAAACAGATCAGTTTCCGGAGAAGCAAGCACCGGCCAAGCCAGTGTCTCCAGGGAGAAATGTCCCTGAACTCCTCCATCAGACTGTCACAGCCACTTCACATCAAATGACAAGAGAGGCAGGCCCCTAACTAAGAGGTGATGCTATCCCTTTTTTCTTCATTTCTCCATCTGTAAAATGAAAGGTTGGACTAAATGCGTTTCAAGTCCCTTCTCTTATTTTTTTTATGATTATGATTTTTTAATCATGTCTATAAGTCATGCCTTTCCATGGTGAGTCTAAAACAAAGGACCGCTTGCTTTGTTATAATCTCCCACGCTCCCATGCACAGCAGAGCATAGAGCCTAGCATATTCGCTTAACAATTTTCTCAGAACTTTTCCCCTTAGACTATGTTAAGAAATAGAAGTTTTGGCAACTCTTATTATCCTTTTCGCTTTTTATTCCTTCCCAAACACAATGCTTCATTTTGAAATGGCCCAGCCCCCAAAACTTTCCTTCTCAAACTCCTTCATGTTTCAAGATGAGCTCCTGTCAACACTCAGAACTCCTGTCTCTCACAGCCTCCCCACACATACACCCAATAGCTGAAAAACAATGAGGATCTCTAGCATTTGTGTGTTCTAGGTACCGTGGGGCTTCATAAACATTATATTCGGTCCTTCTAAAAGCATTGTAAGCATTATTATTCCCGTTTCACAGGTGAGAAAATTGAAGCCTACAAAGTTTAGGAGATTCAGAGTCAACTAGTGAATGGCATTTGAATTTAGGTTCGCTTTCCAGAAGCAAAGCTAGAGGATAGCAGGAAGGTGGGTTGATCTCTTTGTGTACATTCTCTACAAATGGTGCCTTTTGAATAATTTTATTGCCACAATGAAGTATAGGAGACCTGAGAAAGCATAGCTACTATAGTCCAGAGGCACCTCTTCCGTGAACTCACCTTCAAACCAGTAGCATAGGCCCTGTCCCCCATCTCTGCCTCCAAACCCATAATATCCTCATGGATTTCAGACCTTGGTTGTTCCATTTTCCACTACGCCAACTGGGTGACTCACAAGTGGTGGTTGTGAATGGAGAAGGCTGTCCCTAATGCCTGTGGCCATGGGTTGGAGTGTGGACCCGTGCTGTTGGGTTTGCCAGCATAGACTGAGGACAGCCGTGCCCTACCCAATCCTGTGGTGAATCTTGTTATAAAGTGGAATAATCTTTCCTGATGTGTCTAGAGCTCTTAATTAGCCTTTTCTGTATCCTCAGTTTTGTAAATTAAATCTCTGACATGGGACTTACCTTTATTCCAATACGTGCACTCAAAAGTGAATCCTACCTATCAAGCCTCTTAAATCTTGTTTTAAATCTCCCTAACCTCAGTGGCCCTGAGAAAGGTCCCACCAGGGCAGCTGGTGTCCAGCAGGTGGGAAGTTGCAGCCTGAGGAGGAAGTTGGGGCTGGGGTGGCAGGGCCTGTCTCCCAGTTGAGGCTGCTGCTGGGACTCCTGTAGGATTTGGCCAGCTGCTGCAGCTACCAGAAGGCTTTGTTCCACGGCTTTGTTCCTCTCTTCCTGGCAGAGAGGGAGGCTTTGGTCCTGCTAAGCTGGCTTCTTCCAATGATGTGGCGTATCGTGCGGGGTCACAATATCACTGAGGCTTTCCTTCTACATCTGTATCTTGGCGTCTGATTCCCATCCTGAAATTTATCAAAAAAAGAGCAGCTCTTTGAAGAGCCTCCTACTGACTTAAGTTGTTGTTGTTGTTAGGGAGTTGAGAGAAAAGGGGCAGGGAGTCCTGAGTTCCAGGCTGGCCCAGCGTCTCACTGGCTTTATGGGTTTGGAGAAGTCCCATCTCCTCTCTGGGCTTGATCTCTGTAACCCTGACATGGTGTGATTCTATTTTTCCTTCCTACCTTCTCACTCTTCATAGCCAAGATGTCTTTTCCTGGTTCTCCTCCATTCCTGGGGTTTCTGGGACTGTTGGCGGGGGAAGGAGCTTCAGGGCTGTGTGTCAGAAATCAGGCCTTGTGTCAGAAATCTATACTCTCCTGAATTGGTTCCCATAATCACTGGTGGCAGCTTATCCCTGTTCAGCCAAGTGGGATGGACTGGCCTCAATCCATAGAAAGTGATGGAAAGACAACATTCAGTTTCTTCTTTGAGGGTCATTCTCTCATCTTTCTGATCTCTGCTTTCCTAGATGTTAGAGTATTATAGTGGCTGCCACAGAGCTAAATTGTGTAATCCCCAGAGGTAGCCCCTCATCTCACGTTCATTCCTATGTGCTTTTTATCTCTAAGAAAAGATGTGTTACATAAGCTTACTTTTTGCAAATAACCTACAAAACTCTAATGTGTCTAAAAAACCAACTGCCATTGATTGACCACATACTATGTGCCAGGAGCTTTTCATACGTTACTCTATCAAACCTCATAATAATAACGTAATATTTCCTCCATCCACCCAGCTGGATGTGATGGATCTTGAGAGGGCTGCACACACAGGCAGCCCTGACCCTTCAAAGCCATGGACCTGGGCTGAGGGTCCTGGCAGCCGTGGTGGCACGCACTGATCTGGGGCAGGGAGTGGTGGTGGGAGGCACTTCTGGGACTGTGGGTTGTACAGATGTGGGAGAGGATGAGGGCCAGGGGCTTCAAGAGGCAGGACTCTCTGGGTGTTCCCCATCTTCACTTTTCCAGTCCAAATGTCCCCACTCCCGATTTCGCACCAATTTCCCCCATTGACATATCACCATTGGAGGCTCTCTTCATTACCTCCCTGTCATGTGCAGAATCATGCTATGCACAGAAAGGGGCAATGGGATGAGGTGGGAGTCCTCTCCCCCGCTGTGTACACTTTTTCCTGAGCATCCTCTTAGAGCCTGCTCGAGCCCCCAGAGGCCCAGGACATGGCCCTGTTGGTGTCTGTGTTCTGACTGCACTGCCCTTTCATCCCAAGAGGCCCACTCTACCAAATGGGTATGAGGTATGCCCAGACCCTGTCTCCCAGAGACAACAGTCTGGGACCATTTCCTCTTTCTAGTTGCCACTCCAAGTTCCAATCCACTAGTGCTTCTGGGTTTCAGGTTGCAAGAAATTTTCAGGTCATACTTTATCTATTTTATTTGTAGTTTAGTATTATCGTTCTTAGTAGTAGTCGTAGTTCCATAAGAAGAGGCCGATGGTAGTGCCGCTTAGCCTATAGTGGTATAAGGTGGAAATGTGTAGTCTTTGGTAGATAGGACTGGGTTCAAATCTTGGCTCTACCAGTTAATATGTCCAAAAGTAAACCCTTGTTCCCATTCCTCTCCCTAGCTTCTACTGCAAACCCTGCCCTCCCTCAGATCTCCCCATCTCTGTAAATGGTCACTCCTTTCTGCAAATTGCTAAAGACCCAAACCAACAAGTCATTATAGCCCACATCAAATTCATGAGCAGATTCTGGCAGCTCTGTCTTTGAAATCTCTCCAACCCACTTTCGTCTGCCACAGTTGTCCACGTTCCTGTCATCTCATACATAAACTGTTGTAGCAGCTTCCTAGGTGACCTCCACTCCTGACCTGCAATAGTCTGTACTCTCTGCAGCAGCCAGAGGGGTCCTTTTATAAAACAGGTCAGATCATGTCATTCTCCTGTGAAAACCCCCCAGAAGCTTCTCATCTCATTCAGTGCAAAAGCCAAGTTGTTACAGTGACTTTCAAAGGCATCTATTTGCCTCTTCACCTCATTGGCCTCACCTCCAGCCACTCGACCTCCTCACTTACTCTGTCCAGATGCAATGGCCTCCTGCTCTTCCCCAAATACGTGGAGCAGGGTCTTTGAACTTGCTGCTCCCTCTGCCTGGAATGAGGTTGCCCAGATTGCATGTGGCCCAATGCCTCATTTCATTTCAGTCTTTGTTCAGCTGTTACCTTCTCGCTGACCTTCCTTCTAAAATCACAAATATCTTCTGTTCCTCACTTTCTAATTCCTTTACCTTACCCTATTGGGCTTCCCAATACTATCCCCACTTGTTTATTGTCTGGCTCTTCCAGGAGAATGTAAGCTCCCTGGTAGGGAGTCTTTATTCTCTTCATTGCTTATATTAGTTTCCTAGGGCTGCTATAACCAAGTACCAAAAACTGGGTGGCTTAAAACAGAAATTGAGTGTCTCACGGTTATAGAGGCTAGAAGTCTGAAATCAAGGTGTCAGCAGGGCCACGCTGTCTCTGACAGCTCAATGTGTTCCTTCTTTGTCTCTTCCAGCCTCTGGTGTTCGTTGGCAATCCTTGCGTTCTTTGACTTGTAGATGAAGCGCTGCAGTCACACGGCTGTCTTCTTCCTGCGTGTCTTCATCTTGTCTTTCCTTGTATGTGTCTGTCTCTGTGTCCAAATTTCCCCCTTTTATAAGCACAGCAGTCATATTGGATCAGGGCCACCCTAATGACCTCATTTTAACTTGATTATCTCTAGAAAGACCCTATTTCTAAATGAGGTCACATGTTGATGTACTTCGGTTTAGCACTTAGATATACCTCTGCAAAAGGCGGGGGACACAACTCATAACACTGCTGAGTCCCCAGCTCCAAGTAGGCACTCAGTGATTGTTTAAAGAATGAGTCAGGGACTACCATTTACTATCTGTGTGACCTTGGGCAAATTATCTAATCTCTCTGAGTCTTGCATATAATTAGTGATCTAAAAATGGTAACCGTTATTAATTTCCCCAATTAGTACATGGAGAATCTGATAAATGCCTTATGTTGTTGCTATGAAGTCTGCTAAAGTAACGTATGAAAAGCACCTGGCACTTAATATGTGGTCAGTAAATGGCAGTTGATTTATTAAATAAAATATGCACTGTCTCTGGTGATGGAATGTATTTCATTTCCTTGCACACAAATAAAACATGGCCACTGTGCTTAAGAAAGGTGCATTGTAGCTGATGTTAAAGAATGTAGCTATGTAAAGTTGTAACATCTCTGCTGGAAAACTCTTGGCCAAGAGAACTACAACAGGATGGGGAAGAAGAAAAATGCTTAGGTTTCTGAGAGTAAGAGACTTTTTTGTGTGTCTTTAACCAAAAGGATCCCGATCTATTTGTAAGTAGGGTTCTCAGGGCAAGCATCTTTATTAGTGACCTTGATGGATGCACTCAGATGGTTTGCAAATGATAAGAAGCTGGAAAGGAAAGTGGCCATGTTGGATGAAAGACTAAATTATAAATGGAATCCATAAGATAAAATATAACAAGGATAATTGGTGGATCCAGGACATGTATTATATGCAAAAAATGGGGGAGATGTAGCTTAATGTGAAGGTTCTCAACATCTGAGGTACATCAGAATAACCTGTAGAGTTTTGCATACTTGTTTTTAAAATAGAGATGTCAGGGCGTATTTCAGACATGCTGAAGTAGACCCTCTGGTGGTGGTACTTAGTAGGTGTCCAATGTTGGCAAAGGTTGAGAGCCCCTGGGGTAACTGGGACAAGTATGAAAAACTTAGGGATTTTTCTGAGACTGTGGGATGAGGCTGTGTTATTGGGGGGTAAAGTGTCTGGGACATGGAGGGCATTTTGTTCTGGGTTGGTGCTTCTAGAATATAAAGTCTGCATGAGCAGGGATTTCGGACTATTTTGTTAATTGGTGATTCCTGAGTGCCATTACATGGCCATGGCATGGGATGGATGCTCAGTGAATTGTTGAATGAATGAGCTAAGTTTTGGGAATTTTTCTCTGAAAAGGGAAAGACAAGAGCATGTTTAGATGTAAGTGCCAGGTCTAGAAACTCTAAGTTGGAAGTTGGGAAGTTGATAATATAAATTTATAATATAATATAGTATGATATGATATAATTGTTTTTATAAGTTGGAAGTTGGGAAGTTGATAATATAAGTTTATAATATAATATAATATAATTAATATAATATAATACTTTTTAACTTATAGGTGCATAAATTAGCGAGGTAAAGCTGTTTGATTAAAGGAGAATTAGGAAGGAGAATGAGAATTATTCTTGCATACTTGCTGGATGGTCTCCAGGGAGAGGAATTAGGTGTATTCTATATGCCCACCAAGGGTAGACATACTCGAAGGAGTAATACTTTAAGTGGCCACACTTGGAGGAGTTTTCTCTAATGTGCTCATTGATTATAAAATGGAAGTCCATCAGTAAGACCTTTCTCAGCTTAGGGTTCAAGCAGAGGCCAGTTGTCTACCTGTCACAGATGATGGAGAGGGCCTCTTGCATTGCATAGACTATGGACCCAGGTCACCCAGATGCACTCAATCTTGGAACATTTGTGATCTTGACCAGCCAGATGCCTTCTCTACTTTTTCTTTCTCATATATTTTTATGAAGAGATTGATAGTCCAACCAATTTGGTCACTGATCGAGTGACAGAAGACACAGCGATGGTCTCCTGGAACCCAGTCCAGGCTGTCATTGATAAGTATGTGGTGCGCTACATCTCCACTGACGGGGAGACGAAGGACACAGCTGTGTACAGGGAGCAGAGCAGCACCGTCCTGACAGGCCTGAAGCCAGGAGAGGTGTACAAAGTCTACGTGTGGGCTGAGAGGGGCAACCAGGAGAGCAAGAAGGCCGACACCAAGGCCCTCACAGGTAACAGAAGGATGGGAGTCTTCACTCATTCTTACTGTCTCCCATCTCTAAAGAAACAGGTTTCCTGATGGCAAGGAGAAGATTGATTTTTGAGTCAGGAGGCTGATGCCCACCTAGCATCAACTTTTTCGTTTGCAGGTGTGTGGGTGGGGGGGTTGCAAAGGCAATTTCAAATTTCATAATTATGAATTTTTTCCTTTTTAACCTCAAGCAAAAGAGACCATCCTTTTTATTTGATACAGAAGGTCATACTTATTTGGGTTGGAATTCCATATGCGACTCCCTTGGAGTAGAGGAACACTTTCTAATTTTCATTTTTTGGACATTAAAACTCAAAACATTGGGCTGACAGTGAATTTGAATGCTCATCTCAGTTTGCAGTGACTGTATAGGCATGTTGCATGTAATCTGGAGCTCTCTTTCAGACCATGGAAATGGTTTGCCTCCTGAGTCAACATTTACCAAATGTACCAATTCTGACTTGAAGCTTTCAGAAAGTGTGAGGGCTCCCTTACTCCGTCCAGTTGTTCTGCTCAGCTGGGGCCTGCGGGTGTCCTGAGGCTGCATGGGGGTGTATCCCAGATATTCCTTCTGCTTAAAACCTCCTCTGGCGCTGTCCCTGAGTTCAGAGAAGCCTAATCCTGGAGTCCACTTGAAGTTCCAAACACTTGACAGGAATCATAGAAAACAATTCACTTATTGATTGGCCTTTTTTGTGGACACTTAGTGTAGAGACTCTCAGAGAAGCTGATAATTGGTTAGGAATATGGTTTCAGAAGCTTGACTGTCCAAGTTTTAATCTCAGCTCTACCATTTACTAGCTGAGTGATTTGGGGCAAGTTGCTTTGCCTCTGTTCCTCAGATTCTTGTCTGTAAAATGGGGCATATGAATGTCTACATCACTGGGTTAGTGTGAGGGTTACATGAGTTAATTCATGTAAGGCCTGACATAGAGAGTGCTACATAAATGATAGTCATGCTTATTTCTTAAAATGTGTCTTAGTCTGTTCGGGCTGCTATAGCAAAATACCATAGACTGGGTGGCTTAAATAACAGAAATTTATTTCCAGCAGTTCTGGAGCCTGGAAAGTCCCATGATCTGGGTGCCAGTTGGTTCATTTATTGGTGAGAACTCTCTTCTTGGCTTACAGATGGCCACCTTCTTCCTTACATGGTGGAGAGAGGAAGTTCTGGTCTCCTCTTCTTCTTAGGAAGGCACTAATCCCATCATGGGGGCCCCCATCCTCATGACCTCTTCTAAACCTAATTACCTCCCAAAGGTTCCACCTCCAAATACCATCAAATTGGAGGTTAGGGCTTCAACATATAAACTTTTGTGGGGGGACACAAACATTCAGTGCACAGAAATGTTAATCTGCATTTGGCCTTGAAGCACTTTGTGTTGCATAGCCTCCTGGGGCCAGATGGGCCTTGTCTCCTCCAGGGGAAGGAGAAGTTGACAGTAAGGATGGTGAGACCTAGTTTGTTTAAAGTCGAGGTCAGGAAACCTTCTGTAAAAGGCCAGATAGCAAATATTTTCAGCTTTGGGGACCATAAAGTCTCTGTTGCAACCGCTCAACTCTGCCATTGAAATGAGAAAACAGCCATAGACATTATGGAAATGAACTAGCATGACTGTGTTCCAATAAAACTTGATTTATAAAAATAGGCAGTGGGTCAGATTTGACCCATGAGCTCTAGATTACCAGCTCCTGGTTTATATTACACACGGCCCTCCATTCACTAGGATTTTGAGTGCTATGAAAAGAAAGAGCATGTGGGTCAACCTTTTTAAGACAGTGGAAGTTGGAATGGAGAAGAGGCTTCCCCTTTCTCAGGTGGGCATGGCGCAAGTAAAGCACCCCAGATCATGGGGAGCCACTGGGGTGTGGTATTGCTGGGGGTGTCAGGCACAGAGCTAGGCTCTGGGGGTACAAAGGTAAAAGCACAGTTTGTGCTCATATGGCATTCACAATCCTGTGGGTAGAGGAGACAAGTGAAAAAGACAAAGTGCAGTGAGTTATGTTCCAGAGCAAACAAATAACCCTGGAAGTTTGGGAACCTGAAAAAAAGTGGGGGTTAGAGGGGTCATGTTAGCCTATAGGAATAGGTGACCCCTGAACGGAATCTAGAAGGATGTGCCGCTGTTAGCAGTGGGAGCAGCATATGCAGAGACCTAAAGGTGTGGGAATATGACAGGTTGGTTTTCTGTCATGTCTTAATATGCACTTATGTTAATAATGTCATCTTTAGTGGTGTTTATGGTGGGTAGGTCTGTGAGGGGGTGCAGTAGGGAAAGATGAGGCTGGGGCGTTGAAGCCAGCATAGAATCCCAGGGTAAATTGTTTGTCCTTTCATGTCAGCTGTCTGTGTGTCTTTCATGTCAGGTGTCCTGTGCTCCTTCTAGCAAGGCCTCCCTTGGCTGTGTATCCCACTGAGCTGGCCTGGCCGAGCTGGCAAGTGGTGGTGCACAGGTTTGAAATGCAGCTGCTATCACAGAAAGCTCAGTTTTTCAAGGAGGTGGTTTTTGAAACACGATCATAAGGGCATGCTAATCATTGCACCCAATTCCTTGTTTTTTTGACTTTTTAAGAGTTTATATTTTTGAGGAGAAAGTGATATTTCATACCTCAAGTGACATTAGTAATAATAAAGAGCTCATATTTCAGCACTTACTGTGCAATATCTCATGTACTATTCACCATAACCCAGAAGTAGGTACTGATAGTTCCTTCTTTGTAGCGATGAGGAGAACAAGACTTAAGCTATACAGTTTGTCCAAAGTTAGCAACCAGGAAATAGTGTAGCCCACGTTTCAATCCAGTTTAACTGCCTAGAAACCCAGACAGAAAATCCCTACAAGTAGGATTATTTTTATCAGCCTAGACCTCAAATACCTTCACTTAAAAAGTCTCCCATTTCTCTGGCCTCAGATATAATGTTTTATATGGAAAGAACTGACAGGTCCTACTTCTGGGATATTTTTCTTCCAAAAGAAAATATTAGAGAGGATGCACAGATTTATTGAAATATAATTGCTTTCAGGTACAAGGAACCAGGAACTGAAAGAGTATATTCTGTAAACCCAGGGTAAAGGAGAAATTTGTATATGAAGATGAATTCTTTTTATCCAAAGGCAACTTGTGGAAAAAGTTTATAGAGTTGAGACTGAATATTGGCTTCGTCTGAATGCAAATAGCTCATTCTTGGAAATTTCAGACCACTTGCTTAATTAAACCCTTAAGTTATCCAAACCATTGGCATATAACAGACTCTGAAATTTGTTGAGGTCATCATTTTGGTTGTTTGTGTGCTGGCCTTTCACGAATTACAGAGTTGGCAAATGATACACTCCTTCATCTCTCTTAAAGAAATTGACAGCCCGCAAAACCTGGTGACCGAGGGGGTGACAGAGAACACGGCCACCGTCTCCTGGGACCCAGTGCAGGCCGTGATTGACAGGTACCTGGTGCGCTACACGTCTGCTGACGGAGACTCCGGGGAGGTTCCGGTGGGGAAGGAGAAGAGCAGCACCGTCCTGACTGGCCTGAGGCCGGGCGTGGAGTACACAGTACACGTGTGGGCCCAGAAGGGGGACCAGGAGAGCAGGGAGGCCGACACCAAGGCCCCGACAGGTAATGGAACATGCATCATCACTGTGTCACTGCTAAGCTGATGTCCGTCTAGGTTGGTTTTCCTTCTCTGACCTTGGCTGAAAGGGAGGCTCAAGGATGAACAGGCTGGTATCCTTGCATAGTAAATTGTGTACCCCTTTCTTAAATAGAATGGCTTCTCTTAGAATGCATAGCTTGTTCTGTTTGGTTAAAGACCAAAGCTTGGTCTTTAAACATTGACATTATTGCGCATTGTCATTTGTTCTCTGCCTGTGCACCTGCTTTGTTTTTAATGCCTAAAGGCTTCCCCTTCATATAGAATAAATATAAAGAAAGCACAAGTAACTATCATGCTGAGGGATGGTTGATCCAAAACCAAATTTTCTTCACTCCTCACTGGTTTAAAACCTTTCTGTGAAAGACCTACAATAACAAACCCAAAACAATTAAGAAAATGGTAATAGGAACATACATATCGATAACTACCTTAAATGTAAATGGATTAAATGCAACAACCAAAAGACACAGATGGGCTGAATGGATACAAAAGCAAGATCCGTATATATGCTGTCTACAAGAGACCCACTTCAGACCTAGGGACACATACAGACTGAAAGTGAGGGGATGGAAAAAGATATTCCATGCAAATGGAAATCAAGAGAAAGCTGGAGTAGCAATTCTCATATCAGACAAAATAGACTTTAAAATAAAGACTATTCCAAGAGACAAAGAAGGACACTACATAATGATCAAGGGAGCAATCCAAGAAGATGATATAACAATTGTAAATATTTATGCACCCAACATAGGAGCACCTCAATACATAAGGCAAATGCTAACAGCCATAAAAGGGGAAATCGACAGTAACACAATCAGTAGGGGACTTTAACATCCCACTTTCACCAATAAACAGATCATCCAAAATGAAAATAAATAAGGAAACACAAGCTTTAAATGATACATTAAACAAGATGGACTTAATTGACATTTATAGGACACTCCATCCAAAAACAACAGGATACACATTTTTCTCAAGTGCTCATGGAACATTCTCCAGGATAGATCATATCTTGGGTCACAAATCAAGCCTTGGTAAATTTAAGAAAATTGAAATTGTATCAAGTATCTTTTCTGACCACAACGCCATGAGACTAGATATCAATTACAGGAAAAGATCTGTAAAAAATACAAACACATGGAGGCTACACAATACACTACTTAATAACCAAGAGATCACTGAAGAAATCAAAGAGGAAATCAAAAAATACCTAGAAACAAATGACAATGAAAACACGACAACCCAAAACCTATAGGATGCAGCAAAAGCAGTTCTAAGAGGGAAGTTTATAGCAATACAGTCCTACCTCAAGAAAAAAGAAACATCTCAAATAAGCAATCTAACCTTACACCTAAAGCAATTAGAAAAAGAAGAAGAAAAAACCCCAAAGTTAGTAGAAGGGAAGAAATCATAAAGATCAGATTGGAAAAAAAAGAAATGAAGGAAACAGTAGCAAAGATCAATAAAACTAAAAGCTGGTTCTTTGAGAAGATAAACAAAATTGATAAATCATTAGCCAGACTTGTCAAGAAAAAAAAGGGAGAAGACTCAAATCAATAAAATTAGAAATGAAAAAGGAGAAGTAACAACTGACACTGCAGAAATACAAAGGATCATGAGAGCTTACTACAAGCACCTAAGGCTTGCTAAAATGGACAACCTGGAAGAAATGGACAAATTCTTAGAAAAGCACAACCTTCCAAGACTGAACCAGGAAGAAATAGCAAATATAAACAGACCAATCACAAGCACTGAAATTGAGACTGTGATTAAAAATCTTCCAACAAACAAAAACCCAGGACCAAATGGCTTCACAGGTAAATTCTATCAAATATTTAGAGAAGAGCTAACACTTATCCTTCTCAAACTGTTCCAAGATATAGCAGAGGGAGAAACACTCCCAAACTCATTCTATGAGGCCACCACCACCCTGATACCAAAACCAGACAAAGATGCCACAAAGAAAGAAAACTACAGGCCAATGTCACTGATGAACATAGATGCAAAAATCCTCAATAGAATACTAGCAACAGAATCCAACAGCACATTAAAAGGATCATACACCATGATCAAGTGGGGTTTATCCCAGGAATGCAAGGTTTCTTCAATACACGGAAATCAATCAACGTGATAAACCATATTAGCAAATTGAAGGAGAAAAACCATATGATCATCTCAATAGATGCGGAAAAAGCTTTCGACAAAATTCAACACCCATTTATGATAAAAACCCTCCAGAAATTAGGCATAGAGGGAACTTACCTCAACATAATAAAGGTCATATATGACAGACCCATAGCCAACATCATTTCAATGGTGAAAAACTGAAACCATTTCCTCTAAGATCATGAACAAGACAAGGTTGTGCACTCTCACCACTAGTATTCAACATAGTTTTGGAAGTTTTAGCCACAGCAATCATAGAAGAAAAAGAAATAAATGGAATCCAAATCAGAAAAGAAGAAGTAAAGCTGTCACTGTTTGAAGATGACATGATACTATACATAGAGAATCCTAAAGAGGTTACCAGAAAACTACTGGAGCTAATCAATGAGTTTGGTAAAGTAGCAGGATACAAAATTAATGCACAGAAATCTCTTGCAGTCCTATACACATTCATCATTTTTCAATGATGAAAAATCTGAAAGAGAAATTAAGGAAACACTCCCATTTACCATTGCAACAAGAAGAATAAAATACCTAGGAATAAGCCTACCTAAGGAGACAAAAGAGCTGTATGCAGAAAACTGTAAGACACTGATGAAAGAAATTAAAGATGGTACAGACAGATGGAGAGATATGCCATGTTCTTGGATTGGAAGAATAAACATTGTGAAAATGATTATACTACCCAAAGCAGTCTACAGATTCAGTGCAATCCCTATCAAACTACCAATGACATTTTTCACAGAACTAGAACAAAAAATTTCAAAATATATATGGAAACACTAAAGACCCTGAATAGCCAAAGCAATCTTGAGAAAGAAAAACGGAGCTGGAGGAATCAGGCTCCCTGACTTCAGAGTATACTACAAAGCTACAGTAATCAAGACAGTATGGTACTGGCACAAAAACAGAAATATAGATCAATGGAACAGGATAGAAAGCCCAGAGAAAAACCCATGCACATATGGTCACCTTATCTTTGATAAAGGAGGCAAGAATATACAATGGAGAAAAGACAGCCTCTTCAATAAGTGGTGCTGGGTAAACTGGACAGCTACATGGAAAAGAATGAAATTAGAACATTCCCCAACACCATACACAAAAAAAAACCTCAAAATGGGTTAAAGACCTAAATGTAAGGGCAGACACTGTAAAACTCTAGAGGAAAACATAGGCAGAACACTCTATGACATAAATCACAGCAAGATCCTTTTTGACCCACCTCCTAGAGAAATGGAAATAAAAACAAAAACAAATGGGACCTAATGAAACTTAAAAGCTTTTGCACAGCAAAGGACACCATAAGACGAAAAGACAACCCTCAGAATGGAAGAAAATATTTGCAAACGAAGCAATGGACAAAGGATTAATATACAAAATATACAAGCAGCTCATGCAGCTCAAATCAAAAAAACAAACAACCAAATTAAAAAATGGTCAGAAGACCTAAATAGACATTTCTCCAGAGAAGATATACAGATTGCCAATAAACAGATGAAAAGATGCTGAACATCACTAATCATTAGAGAAATGCAAATTAACACTACAATGAGGTATCATCTCACACTGGTCAGAATGGCCATCATCAAAAATCTATAAACAATAAATGCTGGTGAGGGTGTGGAGAAAAGGGAACCTTCTTGCACAGTTTGTGGGAATGTAAATTGATACAGCCACTATGGAGAACAGTATAGAGGTTCCTTAAAAAACTAAAAATAGAACTACCATATGACCCAGCAATCCCACTACTAGGCATATACCCTGAGAAAACCATGATTCAAAAAGAATCATGTACCATAGTGTTCATTGCAGCTCTTTTTACAGTAGCCAAGACATGGAAGCAACCTAAGTGTCCATTGACAGATGAATGGATAAAGAAGATGTGGCACATATATACAATGGAGTATTACTCAGCCATAAAAAGAAACGAAATTGAGTTATTTGTAGTGAGGTGGATGGATCTAGAGACTGTCATACAGAATGAAGTAAGTCAGAAAGAGAAAAAGAAAAACCATATGCTAACACATATATGGAATCTACAAAAAAAAAAAAAGAAGGCTCTGAAGAACCTTGGGCCAGGACAGGAATAAAGGCACAGATGTAGAGAATGGACTTGAGGACACAGGGAGAGGGAAGGGTAAACTGGGACGAAGTGAGAGAGTAGCATTGACATATATACACTACCAAATGTAAAATAGATAGCTAGTGGGAAGCAGCCGCATAGCACAGGGAGATCAGCTTGGTGCTTTGTGTCCACCTAGAGGGATGGGAAAGGGAGGGTGGGAGGGAGATGCAAGAGGGAGGAGATATGGGGATATATGTATATGTACGGCTGATTCAATTTGTTATACAGCAGAAACTAACACACCATTGTAAAGCAATTATACTCCAATAAAGATGTTAAATAAATAAAGCCTTTCTGTGGTGCTTATTTTTGTTTCTGCTCTTTGGATGAGCGTTTTTTGCAGAAATAATAACGTTTTATTAGCTCAAACTAAGCAAATGTCTAGTCACTTTTAGCATCCAATATGTATCATTTTAGTAATTAAGATGTCTACATCCATGTAATTGTACATACTTTATGTAACTTTAAACCTGCTCCTCTCCATCAGCTTGGGCCATTTGTGGGCTAACTGCCTGCCCTTGAAGGGGGCGTGCTCGGCTTCTCTTGTATTTCCAGTCCATTCGTTAAGCACTGTCCTTCCAGAGTGCTAACTCGAGCTCCTGACCCATTTATGTTTGGTACGTGGGAGGTAAGGGGTGTCGGGAGGAGGAGAGGTGAGGGATCTTGCTTGAC